CGCCGCCGCCGCTCTTCCCGCTTCCTGCCTCATCCCTGCCCCGCGGCCGCCGCCCCCGCGCCGGGCATGGGCCCCGGCGGGCCGCCCGCCTAGCCCGGCCCGCGCGAGCGAGCATGGCCGCGGAGCTGAGCGCCGACGAGGAGCGGGTAGGTCGGGATCCATTCCCCCCCCCATCGCGAGGCCGCGGGTTCGAGCCCTGCGTCCCCGGGCCGGGGGGGTGCAGGGGTCTTTTCCTGCCCGCTCCTCGATTTTCCGAGCCCGGAGGGACGCGAGGAAGCGGCGGCCCCCGCCCTGCGGGCAGCCACGGCCCCAGCAGCAGCGGCGCCCGCTCTCCCGCATTGCCCGCTGGCCGCAGCTCGATCCATAGGGAAGGTCCCGGCCAGGCATCCYCCTGCCCCGGCAAAGACCTGATTGCAGCGTCTCCTCCGTGCTGAGCATCCAGCCGGAGCCCTGACCGCCTGGCACACGCCTGCACCCGGGGGAGCCGCTTCAKGGCAGGGAGAGCGCGTGGGGACGGACGCGGCTCCGCGCGAGCCTGGCGGCTCCGCCGGCCTCTCCGTGCCTTGTGCTGCCTGCCGGAAACGCCAGGATTTTTGTGCTAATAGCTCCTGAAAGGGAGCGAGGGCCGGGGCGCTGCAGCAAGGGGTGGGTCGGCTCCGGTTTTGAGGCCGAAATGGCAGAATTTCCTTTCTTCCCACGGGGCAGTGGGTAAGGGCCTTTGCTTGGCTCATTTGTGCGTGTGCCTGTTGGCCTGAGGGTCACTCCTCTTCTCCCCTTCTGCTGTCGGACACGGGCTTTTTTTAGCACCGTTTCCGAAGGAAACCGGCGCCTGAAGTCACTGTCTGCCTGCGCATCCGTCACTGCCCCASGACATGCTGGATTTGCTGGGCTCGCCCTGCCAGGCAGCATGGATCTGGGGGGACCCTCGGACCCACCGTGAGCCCTTCCTGAGGAAGGGCCAGGGAAGGACTTGCCAGAGGGAGAAGAGGCCGTCGCGCTCCATCAGCAGCTGCTCCAGAGGCAGGGGTGGCTCCCGCAGAGGGATTTGCCGGAGCGTGGGGAAGGTCTGGCACCGCCTCCGCGCTTCCGAGGGCCGCAATAAGGCTGGAGCAAGCGCACAAGCACCCATTGGAGCAGCAAAGCGGTTTAGTCCTTTCTGGGGAATTGCATCCACGACTGTCCCTTCCTCCGGGTGTTGTACTTATGCTCRTGCTATAATCTCTGTGGGATTTTCCACGCTTATTCCAGTTCGTTCACTGGCCTGTGCTGTTGGAGCAGCCCTGACCACCTGGTGTCGATTTGGGGACGTACATGTTGGTGGCTCCAGTGCTCCTGATCCCCTGGAACGATGCAGGGATRGCCATAGCGCTGGGATGCAGCCTGGGTGGCTGCATCCCAGGAACTGAAAGTCTCCTTGCAGCCCCAAGGTGGTTTATCCCTCTGCCAACACTTCCAGCAGTGACTTCTCCTCACTCCACCGGCACTTCCAACCTTAGGAAAACTCTCCGTCCCGTCTCTTGCTGCGCCTCCCATGCAAAACCTGGCCCGGTTCCTTATCTCGTGGCGCGTGTTGTGTCTCTCTCTCTCCTGAACAGGCGACCAAGCAGTTCCTAGAAGAGATCAACAAGTGGACAGGCCAGTACAATGTGTCCCCGCTCTCCTGGAACGTGGCCGTCAAATTCCTCATGGCTCGCAAGTTTGATGTGCTGCGAGCAATCGAGCTCTTCCACTGCTACCGGGTACGGCAGCGCTCAGCTCTGTGGGGATGGATATTCCCGATTCCCTGCTGGAAAAGGGGGCTTGGGAGCAGCCGGCGCTGGCCATGTCTGTTGGCGGCTGCTTGGCTTGCTCCTGTCCCTCTGCAAACAGGCGCTCCTGTCCCCGCAGGAGACACGCCTGAGGGAAGGCATCGTGAAACTGAAGCCACACGAGGAGCCGCTGCGCTCGGAGCTGCTCAGTGGGAAATTCACCATCCTGGTAGGCAGCGGAGCACGGCCTCGAGCCACTGGATGCGGTGCCGCAGTCCCCGTGCCCAGCTCACCTCTCCCCTTCCCGCAGAGCGCGCGGGACCCCTCGGGAGCCTCCATCGCCCTCTTCACAGCCAAGCTGCACCACCCCAGCAAGAGCGTGCAGCATGTGGTGCTCCAGGCGCTCTTCTACCTGCTYGACCGTGCCGTGGAGAGGCGAGTGTGCGGCCGGGTGCGCGCGCGGCTCGCCGGGAAGGGATCTGTGGGGGAGAGGGATGGAAAGGCTGGGAGGAAGCTCGTGCTGTCGGAGCTGAGTGTCACTCGGTGGCTCTGGGGAGCCCAGTGGTGCTGGCTCCCTCCGCGTTCCTGGCCCCGAGGCTCCGTCTGGTCCCGGCGGCGTGCACTGGTCTCCACGCTGCGCGAAGCAGCCGCATTCCTGTTGGTGGGAGATTTCCGCTGCCTTTGAGGAGCTGCTGAGGGGTGGGCTGATGCCAGGAGCGCCGGCCTTTGTGCCGAGCTCGCCGCTTGTCGAGGTTTGCCCTGATTCCCTTTGAAAGGCTTCGCGGGGGAAAGAGGGGTGGCCCTGCTCCTCCCCTCCCTTCGTTTGCCAGGAAAGGCTACGACCGCACGGAGTCTCGGCTGAGACTCGATGCGAGCCCTGCCAGAAAGACGGAGCACCGGCAGCCCCTTCCTAGTGCCGGGCTGCCCTGCGCTCGCGTGCGTAGCAGCTGGCAGCCAGGCTGGGAAGAGCAGCTGGAGAAAGTGGAGACGCACGGCGAGCGCGTGTGTCCTGGAAGTGCGGGAGGAGATTGCCGGGTGGTTAAATGAGCCGAGGGAAGGGACTCAGTGGGGCACTCTGATGTCCCCTTCCTCTCTGTTCCCCACCGGGCAGTTTCGAGACGCAGCGGAACGGGCTCGTGTTCATCTATGATATGGCTGGCTCGCAGTACACCAACTTCGAGCTGGACCTCAGCAAGAAGATCCTCAACCTGCTCAAGGTGCGGGCCGGGGGGATCCCACYGGGCACGTGAGGCTGGGCGCGGAGATCGTCCCACTGCGAGCTCCTGCTGCAGCTGGCAGCGCTGTCCTTGAAAGCAGATGCAAATTATTCCCTAATCACCCTGGCATTTCGTGCCTCCTCCCTTCTCCAGAAAAGAAATAGTGGCACATTTAAGACTCAGAGACACTTTGGATGTGGCATGTGGTGCCAAGCGCTGAGCTGTCTGCAGTAGCTGGATCCCTGGTCTGGGTGCCCTGCTCGGCGGGCACTTTGCTGGGATGGGTCCGGGAGCGGAGCAGTCCCATTCCTGTTGCCTCCTGCAGGGAGCCTTCCCAGCTCGGCTCAAGAAAGTCTTCATCGTGGGAGCACCCATGTGGTTCCGTGTACCCTACTCCATCATCAGCCTCCTGCTCAAGGAGAAGCTGCGGGAACGGGTGAGTCCCGGGCCGCTCCACTTCCCAGTCGGACCATTTGCATCTCAGTGCCTCATTCTTGCTTGCGTTTCTCCGGGCTCTCCACTCAGCCTGTACCCTCTGCTCCCCGCTGCAGGTGCAGATGGTGAAGATGTCGGAGCTGAAGGAGCACCTGCCCCGGGAGTGTCTCCCCGAGTACCTCGGCGGCTCCCTCAAGCTTGACCCTCTGAGCTGGAACTGCCGCTTCCTGCCCCAGCAGAACGGCCACCCTGACCCCCTTGACGAGCTCATCTTGGTACCACTGGTGACCCCCAAGGACAATGGCTCCGTCCATGTCCCAGGGCCCAAATCCATCACCGTCCAGGAGCTGCTGGACCACGTCACCCACAAGCAGAAGCGCGGCATCTATGAGGAGTACGAAGACATCCGGCGCAGGAGTCCGGCTGGGACCTTCGTGTGCTCGCTGTAAGTGCTGCGGRGAAGGAGCAGGACGGGGGCGCGCGCGCCTTCGGGATAGGGGCATGGCAGCTCCGCTTCCCGAGCCTGCGGCCACATGATGGCAGCAGAGCCCGGCCTGCGGGCGCCCGCAAGAGCTCCCCGCTGCCGTGCTGAGCTTCTGCTCTGCAGGGCGCCCCACAACCAGGAGAAGAACCGCTACGGGGACGTGCCCTGCCTGGACCAGACGCGCGTGAAGCTGGCCAAGCCCTACAGCCGCCCGGAGGTGAGCGGGCCCTGCGGGTCGGCTGCGCCCATGCCGATGCCACGGGGGACTCGTGTGTGTGTGTCTTCCCCTGCAGCTGACCGACTACATCAACGCGAGCTTCATGGACGGCTACAAGCAGAGGAATGCCTACATCGGCACGCAAGGTACAGGTGTGCTCGGACGCGGCGCGGCGACCTCCAGGGTGCCGCGAGGCCCTGCCTGTCCTCACACTGGGCTCTTGCTGCAGGGCCTCTGGAAAACACCTACGGGGACTTCTGGCGCATGGTGTGGGAGCAAAACGTCCTGGTGATCGTCATGACAACGCGGTGAGTGTCCCAGGAGCAGCGCGTGAGGCTCGCGGGAGCTTCACGCGTGCGCTGTGGTGCCCCTAAGCCCTGTCTCCATGGGCAGCCTTCCCAAGATTTCCTGGCACTTCCGCTCACCTTCCCCTTGCTTGCAGGCTGGAGGAGGGTGGCCGGAGGAAGTGTGGCCAGTACTGGCCCCTGGAGAAGGATTTCCAGGTGCGCTACGGGACGCTCACCATCACCAACCTGGGCGTGGAGAACCTGAACCATTACAAGAAGACTATCCTGGAGCTCCACAGCTCGGAGGTGGGAATCGTCGCGCCGTGAGGGCGCTGGGGAGCACCCWGCGCTTCCCTGGAATCCAGGGGGCTCGGGGCAAAGCGGGGGAAGGAGCTAACGCTGTGGCCGCTGCAGAGCCGGGAGAGGCGCCTCGTCTCGCACTTCCAATACCTGAGCTGGCCGGATTACGGCGTCCCCTCGTCTGCCGCCACGCTCATCGACTTCCTGGGCGCCGTGAAGCAGCAGCAGCGCGTGGCCGCCAGCGCGCTGGGCCCCCGCTTCAAGGGCCACCCCGGGGGCCCCCCGGTTGTGGTGCACTGCAGCGCCGGCATCGGCAGGACAGGTACGTGGAGCAGCCCTGCCACAACGGCATCTCGCGCGTGTRTRTGTGTGTGTGYGTGCTGGCAGCTCTAACCCTCCCGTCCACACGCAGGGACCTTCTGCGCGCTGGACATCTGCCTGTCGCAGCTGCAGGACGTGGGCACGCTGGACGTGCAGCAGACGGTGGCGCGCATGCGCACGCAGCGCGCCTTCAGCATCCAGACGCCCGAGCAGTACCACTTCTGCTACGCCGCCATCCTGGAGCACGCGCAGCGCCAGGGGCTGCTGCCCGCGCCGGGCTCCGCCGCGCCGGCACGCTGACCGCGCCGCCGCCCGCGCGCACACGGACTGTGCCTTACTCGACAYGCGCGCGGAGCCTGCCGCTCCCCCGTTTTTCCTCTTTTTTTTCCTTTTTTTTTTCCGGTGGGACCATCTGAAGTCAGGCCCGGGACTGCTCCGTGCCAGCGGTGCTTGGAGACACAGAGCCCCAGCAGCTCGTGTCTTGCCAGAGCCACGGCGTTCCCGTTGTGTCCCGCTGCTCCAGTGGCTTTCCCAAGTCACGGCCAGGCACGAAGCCAAGCGGGAGCATCGCATGCCGTGGCCTCCCCTCTTGCTGCCAGCTCTTGCCCTGGCTGCCCTAATTTTATACTGTAATAAGCTCCTTGAATGTGTATATTCTTATTTTTTTATAATCCAGAGGGGAGAGAATTTTTTTTTCCTTCTTTTTTTTTTGTTTTTGTTTTGTATTTAACATTAACTTGACGCAAGCAACACTTGTTACCATTCCTGCGCACAGTGAGACACGTGCGCGGCTGGTGTTTTGGGGCAGTTATCCCATTTCCTGGTGGTCCCGGCCCCCGGAGCAGTGGGCCGGTGTGTGTGTGGGGGGGGGGTCAGGAAGCTGCTCCCACGGGAGTTGGAAGCAAATCCCCCTTCCCGGCGCCACGGGGGCTGCGATTAAAGGGAAGGAACCGCCACAGGCTCCCTTGTGTCTGTTGTGTCCCCAGTGTGTGCGTGTGGCGCGGGGGAGGAACTTCTTTTGTGATAAAAAGTGGCGTTTTGGGGGTGTTTGGGGGCAGCGGCCGCGGGCGGCCCGCGGTAGCGCGGGCCTCGCCTCACGGAGGGGCGGGGTCGCCTCACGGAGGGGGCGGGGCCGCCGCACGCACGGGGCGGGGCCGCCGCACGC